TAAGTATTTACACTTGCTGTTTTACTTAATTCTACAACAATTCTAATACAAAGAGAATGTGTTATTATTTTCCATTTCATTCTGATGAGGAAACAGGCCCAGAGAGATGACAGGTACGTAGCTATTAAGAGTTGGGTATAGAAGCTGGGAGCAGTGGTTCACGCCTGTAATCCCAGCAATTTGGGAGGCCGAGGAGGGCGGATCACTTGAGGTCAGGAGTTCGAGACCAGCCTGGCCAACATGGTGAAACCCCCCCATCTCTACTAAATATACAAGACAATTAGCCAGGTGCACGCCTGTAATTCCAGCTACTGGGAGGCTGAGGTGGGAGTATCACTTGAACCAGGAGGCTGAGGCTGCAGTGAGCTGAGATCACACCACCACCACGCTAGGCAACAGAGCATCTCGAAACAAAAGAGTGGGGTATGACCTAACACATTCACATTCTTGTTCTTCTAGGGGAAAGCATAATGTATGAGAGATTGTTTGGTTTAAAAGTGAAATGATACGGATTTGAGGATTCGAGGGTGGAACAATTCATATTTTGAGAAGTTGAAGATAGACACTGTTTTCCTGAAGGTGTTACAGGGAAGTTTATCTTGGGAATGTGTTTCAGCTTAATCTGCCCAGCATTTGACACCATTTGGTAGAGGGAGGAAGCCCCCACAACTAGCGCAGTTCTGATCTCCCTGAAATGTTCGAAATCCCTCCCGGTTGCTTAAGCTCCTTCATCAGTTTTCGTCATACACACAGATAATAAGAAGTTGTTTCTCAGCCTTTTATCTTTACATCTCTGTTTCCAAATGACTGTGTTCCCAGGCCTTCTCCTTTTTTCCACAGAGATAACCGCCCCATGGTCCTGTGCAATGCAGCTAGTGGGTCCTGGGAGGGTGCAACATTTCTCAGAAATAATTGTCTAATCTTGAACTTTGGGCAGGATGTTATAGATAAGAGCCTCTGGGTAAGAAGTTTTTTTTTTTTTAAACATCCAAACTTTGATCTGTTGAAGTTCAGATCACTTTATTTATTTTTTATTTTTTAATTTTTTTTGAAGGAGAGTCTCACTCTGTCACCCAGGCTGGAGGGCAGTGGTGCGATCTCTGCTCACTGCAGCCTCTGCCTCCCGGGTTCAAAGTGATTCTCGTGCCTCAGCCTCCCCAGCAGCCGGGATTACAGGTGCGTGTCACTGCGCCCAGCTAATTTGTGTACTTTTAATAGAGACGGGGTTTCACCATGTTGGCCAGGCTGGTCTCAAACTACTGACCTCAGGTGATCCACCCGCCTCGGCCTCTCAAAGTGTTAGCATTACAGGTGTGAGCCACCACGCCCGGCCCAGATCACTTTAAAGTGTATCATATTTTGGGGCTACTGAGGAGACAGCTCAACACTGCACCTGTTCTTTGATTTCTTCCCCATGTTCAGGGAATCCTCAGCTATTCTAGCCCACAGCTCAACCTCCTTCTTCCCTTTAGTGATACAAAATCTGCATTCCCCAGGGTAGAATGTGTGCTTTGAAATAGAGTGTCAAGAGCGCTGCAAGAATTCCTCAGCTCATATTCACAATCGCCGAAAGGAGGAAACCACCCAATGTCTATGGATTGACGACCAGATAAACCAACTGTGGTCCGTCCGGTCCATGGAATATTGCTCAGCCACGAAAAGGGAGGCAGCACTGACACACGCTAACAGCTCGATGAGCCTGGAAAACGTTATGTTAAGTGAAAGAAGCCAGCCACAAAATGCCGCATATTGAATGATTATTCCATTTACATGAAACACCCAGAGCAGGCACTTACATGGGGACCCTCAGTGCTAGGACGGACATTCCAGACCTCAAGGCAAGCTGGGCAGGAAGGTGTGAACTGCACTTGAAGTGCCTCCTAAGCCACATTCTCTTTTTTTCCATAGCCTTGTTCTCCTACCTTCAAATTCTAAAAAGTTTGAGGACGGAATGACATATTTTAGAGATTCTTCTCTGAAAACTTGCCCCACCCTAGGCCTGGGTGAAGGGCAGCCATGTTTTCGCCACGTGCCAAGTTCCCTTCTGCCACCCCTGCCCCAGCCACAGGTTGCTGGCTCTGGGGTGGACACCAGCCTCAGAGACAGCTCATCCACTGGTTGGTGATCTGGGCTGACAGAATGGCTGGACCAGAAGTGATGGTGGTGGGGGCTGGGCTGGGAGGCCCCAAAGCTTAGGGATGAGGAGGTCAGATTTAACTTATACAATCCATGAGGCAGGAGAGAGAACCAGAAAAAGAAGCTAAACAACAGGCCTGTGGACCCATAAAAGCCAGAGTGAGCAGCTTTTACCCTAGCTTTTCCCAGACTCGGGGAGGCCTGGCAGGCGCTGGTCCTGCCCTTGGCTGTGCCTGAGATTAACTGCCACAGCCTTACAACACCCCCTCCCTTCCGCCTTTACTTAGCCAGTTTAAGTAGATTTTCTGTGCCTTACAGTGAAACAGCCTTGACGAACTTAATAGGAACCAAAATGTTGAAAAACAGTGCACGAAGGTCCTTGTTGTATTTGGGAGGAGAGGAGAATTATTACACAATTTTGGACTTTGTTTGGAAAACGTGTAAAGTATTTTAAAAACTGAAGGAGTCCCATTACAAGAAAAGAGTAAATATAAATTATTAAGCTTCGTAGCGAGCAGAGAAAAAAAAAGGAGCTATCTAAAAGAGAAGTAATATGAAAACCTGTCCATTCAACTGCAAACACAAAAGGGGAAAAGCAAAGCGAAGTCAAAATAGAAATATTAGAAATAAATCCAAATAGATCAGCAATCACAATAACTATGTGGATTATACCTATTAAAAGACAGATGATAAAATTATACTTTTAAAAACTTTAATGAGGCTGGGAGCAGTGGCTCACGCCTGTAATTCCTGCACTTTGGGAGGCTGAGGTGGGTGGATCATCTGAGGTCAGGAGTTCGAGACCAGCCTGGCCATCATAGTGAAACCCCATCTCTACTAAAAATACAAAAATTAGCCAAGTGTGGTGGCAGGCACCTGTAATCCCAGCTACTCAGGAGGCTGAGGCAGGAGAATCACTTGAACCCAGGAGGCGGAGGTTGCAGTGAGCTGGGATCGCACCACTGCACTCCAGCCTGGGTGACAGAGCGAGACTCCGTCTCAGAAAAACAAAAATTAATGATATGTTGTTCACAAAAGACACACTTAAAATCTATCAGCAAGTTTGAAAATAATGGGATGGAGAGAAAGTTATGCTCTGTGCTCTAGACTGAATGTCTGTGTCTCCTCCAGATTCATATTTGAAATCCTAATCCCCAATGTGATGATTAGTCATGATTAGGTCATGAAGGTAGAACCTTCAGGAATGGGGTTAGTGCCCTTGCAGAAGAGGCCCCAGTGAGCTCCCTCACCTTTTTACCATGAAGGGATAAAGATACACTTTCGCTGTGTGACACAGTGAAAAGACAGCAGTCTATGAGACAGAAGGTGGGCCTTCCCCAGACACTGAATCTGCCAACACCTCGACCTAGGACTTCCCAGCCTTCAGGACTGTGAGTAATGGGTTTCCGTTGTGTATAAGCTATCCAGTCTATGGATGTTATTATAGCAGCCCAAATGGACTAAGACACTGTACAAGTATAAGCCCAAGGAAGACTGGAGGTAGCAATGTTAATGTCATTAAAAGTGGAATTTCAGCTAAACGGCACTAATAAGGCTAAAGAAAGATAGCACATTTTAAATGTTAGGGTTTATTTATTTATTTCTTTTCCCTTTCTCTCTTTCTCTTTATGCTCATGTGTCTCTGGCTAGAGATTTGGCAGTTGGCTTCACCTGGCTTTGGAACAGCATTGCGGGCTCCTGCTCCCTGGGGAAAGAGGGCATCCTTAACGCCCCCGGAAGCCTGCCTTCCACTCGCAGCTTATCCCAATGTTTGTGCTCATATTTCTCTGGTCACTGCTATGTATTTGCAGCAGAGGAAGTAAGATAAGATGCAACCAGTTGCCCCCTCTGCACTCTCTGTCACACTCATCACCTTCCTAAACAAAATGTTCCCAAATGACCTTCGGCTATTCCTTCCTTCCTCAATTGCCCTCTCATTTCATCCCTCCCACAAAACCCACCATCAAATCCACTTCCCTAGTGCCACCACTAAGAACATTTCAAAGAATATCTTTTAAGCTCTGAATCAAGTTTCAAAGACAGACCCAGGCAAGGTAGCATTGTTAGAATAAATGGGTGGTCAGTCATTTGGATGTAGGAGTCTAGTGTGAGGGTCTAAACACAAACTGAGGCCGGGCGCAGGGGGCTCATGCCTATAATCCCAACACTTTGGGAGGCTGAGGCTGGTGGATTGCTTGAGCAAATAATAAAAATTTAAAAAATAAAATGGGGCTGGGCGCAGTGGCTCATGCCTGTAATCTCAGCACTTTGGGAGGCCACATGGGTGGATCACCTGAGGTCAGGAGTTTGATACCAGCCTGGCCAACACGATGAAACCCCGTCCCTACGAAATATACAAAAATTCGCCGGGTGTGGTAGCGGGTGCCTGCAATCCCAGCTACGTGGGGGGCTGAGGGAGGAGAATCGCTTGAATCCCGGAGGTGGAGGTTGCAGTGAGCTGTGATTGCACCATTGCACTCCAGCCTGGGTGACAGGGCGAGACTCCATCTCAAAAAAAAGAAAAAAGCAATGGGGTATGCACACACACAACTAAACAAATTGCATCACTTCATAATCACATCTAAGATATCCGAGGAGGGAAAAGAAGAGGATTCTATGTCCTATTGCAATATCAAGGGAAACGGAGGCACCTGGAAATGCCTCTCTACCTGGAATTCTTGCCAGCAAGGGCCCACATTTCCTGCCTCTCCCCCCATCTAGGTGATGCAGCTCCAGCTCCAGGCAGAGGGATACCTTCCGGGAGCTGGTGGGGGTGTGTGTGTCTGAGCGATGGGAGCTGGGCTCCACCTCGCCCAGCCCTTGTCCTCCACGAACGCTTGACAGGAGACGAATCCAGGGCTCACCTGTAAGATCCAGAGAGGACGAATCTCCAGTCTGAGATGATGAACTTCTCCCGGATTTGGCCAGCGAATTTCCTGCCTGACTTGGCACAATACACCTCTCCTTCTACACTCCGGATGGAAATGTTCTGTTGGAGGGAATGTCAAGGTGTCACTTCCTAATTCTGTTTATAGAGATATATTTGGGCTTTAGGCTGGATGTTTGTGTTCCCCTTACCCCCATTCTATGTAGAAACCTAATCCCCAGGGTGATGGTACTAGAAGGTGGGGCCTTTGGGAGGAGATTAGGTCATGAAGGTGGAGCTCTCATGAATGGGATGAGTGCCTTATAAAGGAAGCCTAGAGAGCTCGCTCACTCCTTCTGCCACGTGAGGACACAGCAAGAAGACAGCCATTTATAGGCCAGGAAGTGGCCTTCACCAGATGCCGAATCTGCCAGAACATTGATCTTGGAGTTCCCAGCCTCTAGAACCATAGGAATAAATTTCTGTTGTTATAAGCCACCAGTCTATGGAATTCTGTTATAGCAGCTGTGATGGACTAAGACAATTTGTGTAAGAAAATGTCTGGTAGAATGTTCATCAAGATGAAAATGTATTATCTCTGGTTGGTGGGATTCTGGACCATATTAGTATTTTCCTTGGGCTGAATTGTTCTTCATTGTCCTGGCATTAGCTGGCAAAAACAAAACAAAAACAAAAACAAAAACAAAACAAAACAAAACAAAAAGAGGAAGGGGGTAGAATTCAAATAAGGCAGCAAATAAAAGCAACGGCCTGATGCCTATGGAGCCCCGAGTCTAGGCCCCCATGAGCCACAGGTGGCCTGACAGTTACTTGGAGGCAAGCCCAGCCCTGCCTTGTAAGTGGCTTGACCTGAGTCCCTGACTGCAAGCTGTTCAGAGGGAAGGCTGGGTGCAGCCAGAGGAGGTAGTTTTGTGGAGGTAGCAATAGACCCTGTATTGTCTTAAGCAAAGGTGAGTCTGCAATCGTACCATGGCTCTATTTATCCCTTGTCTTCCCTGTAACACCTGCTGCTCCTACCCTAGGGCTGGAAGGCTGGAGAAATGGAAGGCAGGTAAAGTGTGGAAGTCTCAAGGTTAAGGCTGAGGGAGGTGGAGTACTGTCTGCATTCCTCAAAAGACTGCTGCCAGGCTCTGGGAAGGGCAGTCCTGCCTCCAGCCGCTTCCCCTGGGTTTCTCCATAGCTCTGTGAGATCTTGAGAGGAGGGACACCATTGTCCTATGGTGAGCAGAGTACTGTCAGGTGTGGCCAGCATAGGCCACGAAAGCAAGGCCAGTTCTGACGGTCCTGACCTGTTTCAATGGCCTGGTACCAAGGAGATGTGATCCACGTCATGCCAAACAGACCAGCAGTCAGAGGTCCCAAGGCCTATGGCAGCAGGAGGCAGCACTGAACTCAGCTGCATCCATGCATAGGAGAAGGGAGGGAGGGAGGAGGCTTCATTCTTATCTGGGAGGTTCTCCCAGAGAACAGAACCTCTCTTGCCTGAGCTAGAGGAGACTTATCAAAGGAGATCTGAGGGCCACCCATCAGCTGCTCAGCTGGGCCTACTCATGAAAGCTATGGGTGGTGGTCACATTTGAATTAGTTGTCCTCAAATTTGTGTGATGAATTGAACCCTTATCTCTGGGTTTCTTTTCTCTTTACCAGGAGAGGGAAGTACAGGGTTCAGTGAAGTCCAAGAGGATCAACATCTTGTTGGGGCCAGGGAGTTCTGAACGTATCCCAGAGACCCTGGAGGTTGCCTGCCCTGTGAGATGCAGCCCCTGGGCTTCCCCAGCTGAGAGGAGAACAGGAGTACATGGCAGAGATGCTGCTCACTAGATACCCATGACCCTTTACATTTCCTAGCATCTGTGCATCTGGGTAAGGTCAATGGGTTATAAGAGAAAGCGATGAAAATCTCTTCCAGGTCAGATCCTGGAAACATCCTGCAGAGTCCTCCAGCCTTTCCCTGTCATGGCTATCTTAGAGGCCATGTATTTCTCAGGATGTAGCTACAAGATGGAGGAGGGCCATCTGACCTACATAGGAGTTTGTTTGAGCAAGAAATGAACCTTTATTATGTTCAGCTGTTAACACAAGATGGGGACATTTGTTACTACTGCATAGACTATCCTGTCTGGACTAATATAAGTACCCTTAGGACTCTCATTGGGGCCCCTACCTTGAGGTGACTGTCAGAGATCTGGATTTTGTCACACATCTCCTGGAAGAGCTTCACACCTCCCTGGTCCAGGAGCACACAAACGAACACCCCACGCTTGTTGGCTGCCTCTAGAATGTCACAGAAGATCTCCACATCCGTGAACACATCCATCAGGATGACCAGGACCTGGGCCAGAGTAGAGGGCTCAGTTACCAGAAAAGTCAGGGCCAGGTGCTAATTGGTTTCACCCAAACTGCCTGAGTCCCAGTGGCCCTGGGAGAGCTGTTCCCACTGGGCCAGAGGGGAGAGGATAGGGGTAGAGTGGGTCTGACAGGGCAGGATTAATGGAAGGAAAAGGAAGAGCTGGAGTGGAGGCCCCTGCCCCTGTCCTGATACCATCTCTCCAGCCTCACCAGCTATCTGTGGGCCCCTATGCCCACTGTGGGAGTGGGGAGTGCTGAGGAGGAAGGGAAAAGGCTAGAAAGAGAAGGAGAGCAGAGAAGAACAAGAAGCAGCATCTCAGCGGGTTTCCAGGAGAGGAATAAAGTTAAGGTCATGGATTCTCAGCCACTTGGAGCTGGAGGGCACACTATGGCCACTGATTTTCAAATGCTGTTAAGCGGTGGAATCCTCACCTCAAACAAAATCCCATGTGGAGGCATCATATATAAACGCCTAGAGCAAGCTGCTCCCCGTGAGACGGAGAAGGGAGTGACGCTCTACCCACAGCTACTGTATCATCTGTCACAGCAGAAACTGGGGAGGGGAGTCCTAGACATCCAGCGAGCAGGAGAAACATCTGGGTTCCTCCTGCCAAGCATTCATTCCCCCTTCTTCTGCCAACAGCATCGCAGCCTGACTTAAGGAATTGCCTCTCCTCCACAATCAAGGTGGTTTGGATGGGTCTATTGCCATCCCTTGATTGGATATGGGGAGACCACATGACCAGGGCTAGACCAATAGGAGAATTGCATCTCCTGTTGGCCACGGAGATTGGTTCAGAGGTGGTCACATGAATAGGTCACATGATCTAAGTTATTCTAATGAGAGTCAGCCCAGGACTTTAGCTGGGACTCCTAGGAAAGGAGGTGTTCTTTCTGCAAGGTTGCTTAGCTGGCATTTTATAAGCAATGGCTGCTGGCAACCATTTTGCTACCTCTTGGGGAGAGCCTGCCTGACAATGAAGCCAGCCCTGGAGAAAGCATCCAGGAGGTAGAAACAGAGTACCAGCAGTGTCATTTGGACACCTGGTTCCAGCCATGCCTGAGACCAGTGCCACCCTTGTCTTTTCCACTGTAGATGTCAATGAATGTTTCTCTTCTTCTTAAGCTTGTTTGGGTTTACTCTCTGTCACCCAATCATGAGTCCTTTCTAATACCTTGTGATATATTGACAAGCAGCTTATTAGGCAGTCATTAAAAATGTTAATTACTGCCAGGCACTGTGGCTCACGCCTATAATCCCAGCACTTTGGGAGGCCGAGGCGGGCGGATCATTTGAGGTCTGGAGTTCGAGACCAGCCTGACCAACATGGTGAAGCCCCCTCTCTACTAAAAAAAAAAAATTATTATTATTTTTTTGAGCTGGTAGCCCACGCCTATAGTCCCAGCTACTGGGGAGGCTGAGGCAGGACAATCGCTTGAACCCAGGAGGCGGAGGTGGCAGTGAGCCGAGATCACACCACTGCATTCCAGCCTGGGTGACAGAAGGAGACTCTGTCTCAAAATAAATAAATAAATAATAAATAAAAATCAAAAATGTTAATTACAATGGTTATGTAGAAGGTATAAGACAAGGTGAAATGTTTATAGCCTGAAGTTAAACCTGCTGTATAATCTCAACAAATGTGTGTTAACAATGAATTAAGTGAAGAAAGAAAACAACATAAAGTAGAAGTGTGTCCATGATGACTGCCAGTGAGTGAATACAGATACAGTCAATGGCACTCAATGGCGGAGACACAGAGTAATCCGTCATTAGGTGACTTCTTCATTGTGTGAACATCATAGAGTATATTTACACAAACCTAGATGGTATATATGTTCATATATATATATATATATATTTTTACATGGAAAACCAAATGTCCCAGCACCATTACTGAATATTAATCATTTCTCCTATTTCATCTGCAATGTCAATGTCAAGTGCATATCACGTTTCTGTGTATGCTCCATTATAATCTTTTCCTTCCTTCCTTCCTTTTCTTCTTTTCTTTTCTTCTTTTTCTTTCTTTCTTTCTTCTTTCGTTTTCTTTCTTTCTTCTTTCTTTTTCTTTCTCTCTTTCTTCTTTCATTCTTTTCTTTCTTCTTTTTCTTTCTCTTTTTTTTTTGTTCTGTAGACATGGGGTTTCACTATGTTGCCCAGGCTGGTCTCAAACTCTTGGGCTTAAGCAATCCTTAAGCCTCAGCCTCCCAAAGTGCTGGGATTACAGGAGTGAGCCACTCCACCTGGTCCATTATAATCTTATGGGAGCACTGTCATAGATGTGGTCTGTTACTGACCAAAATGTCATTATTCCGTGCATGATTGTAGATAAGCCCAAAGCAAAAACTAGCAGTCATGTTAGGATGGGGCATGTGAACCCAGAAAATGAGACAGGTCTCAGTTCATTTAGAAAGTTTATTTTGCCAAGGTTGAGGACGTTCCTGAGGAAGTCCTGATGACATGTGCCCATGGTGGTCGGGGCACAGCTTGATTTTATACATTTTAGGGAGACATGAGACATCGATCAATGTATGTAAGAAGCACTTCGGTTCGGTCTGGAAAGGTGGGACAACTTGAAGCAAAGGCAGGAAGACTCAAAGCTGGGAGGGAGCTTCCAGGTCACCGATAGGTGAGACACAAACTGTTGCATCCTTTTGAGTTTCTGATGAGCCTTTCCAAAGGAGGCATCAGATATGCATCTATCTCAGTGAGCAGAGGGGTGACTTTGAATAGAATGGGAGGCAGGTTTGCCCTAAGCAGTTTCCAGCTTGAGTTTCCCTTAGTGATTTTGGGGGCCCAAGATAATTTCCTTTCACAGGGAATATGGCCATTCACTTTTTTCAAGATTACCTGCAATATTAATGTCCCATTCTCTTTCTAATAATTGCAATATATTTTTTAAACCACTGCCATCTGGGAAATGGCAAAGGAAAGAGAGGTGTCTCGCTGGCAGGCCAAACTGATAGCTGGTATCCACTTGGAATCTACTTTCTGTGATGTGGACGGATAGCCAGACAGGAGAGGGAACTCCTCAGAAATTGCTCACCCTGGGCAGGAAATCAGAAAAGATGTTCTAATAATGAGGGTGTGATCATTAGAACCATGGCCCTGTAATCACACAATTAATTGTCTTGCACACATGTAGCCTTATGGCACCGAAAGCAGCTTAGGCTTTCCCTGTTGGCTGAAAGATAAATGCCTCCTCTTCCAAGGTATTGACGAAAGAGACCCTTGCCTCCCTGCCTGATAGGTCAGTAAGTACTTCCAGTTCTGTGCCAGTGAATCACCATTTTCCTGAGACAGGGCTGGGTGAGCTGGTGAATGAACAGAGACGGGGCAGGTTTGGAAATAACCCAGCATCTTGAATTAAAGGATGCTTGGAAATACAGGCTCACCCTGTCTAGGGTTATCTTGTTTGCTTCCTGTTGGGATTGTCTTCCAGCTGGATTAATTTGAAGCCAGTAACTGGTTTGGACCACTGTTCTTCCTTAGAAGGTATAGTGGGTTGAAGGCTAGGCACGGTGGCTTATGCCTGCAATCCTAGCATATTGGGAGGCTGAGGCTGGTGTATTGCTTGAGGCCAGGAGTTCGAAATCAACCTGGGCAACATGGCGAAACCCCATCTCTACTAAAAATACAAAATCAACTCAGCGTGGTGGCGCATGCCTGTAATCCCGGCTACACGGGAGGCTGGGGCAGGAGAATCGCCTGAACCTGGGAGGCAGAGGTTGCGGTGAGCTGACATTGCACCACTGCACTCCAGTCTGGGTGACAGAGAGAGACCCTATTTCAAAAAAAAAAAAAAAAAGAAAGAAAGAAAAAGAAGGTGTAGTGCGTTGAACGGTGTCTCCTCAAAAGAAACGTCCAACCCCGACCACTAGAACTGTGCATATGCCCTCATTTGGGAAAAGCTTCTTTGCAGATGTAACTGAGTAAAGGATCTCAAGATGATTATCCTGGGTTATCTGGTGGGCTCTAAATCCGATGATACATGTCCTTATGAGAGATATCAGAAGAGAAGCACTGGGAGAACAGGAGAAAGCCGTGTGAAGCCCAAAGCAGAGATTGGAGCGACGCGGCCATGAACCAGGAATGCCTGGAGCTACCAGAAGCTGGGACAGGCAAAGAAGAACGCTCTCCTCAGGCCTTTGTAGTGGGCCTAGCCCAGTGACGCCTGGATTTCTGACTTTTGGCCACCAGAACTGTGAGGGAATAAATTTCTGTAGTTTTAAGCCACAAAATGTGCGGCAATTTGTTATGGCAGCCCTAGAAAGCTAACACAAAGGGTAGCACAGAACCCAGAGAAAAAGCGATCTGTCTGGAGTTAGGGAACTTTGACACTCATCCTGATGCTGCTGGGAACTAGCCTTCAAATAAGTCAACACCTCTCCAGAACTCAGTTTCTTTACCTCTAAAATACGACGCAGTAATAGCATGTTAGCTATCAGAAAAGATGGGTCTAACTGTAAACCCAGATAATGTGAATTACAGCACTATAAAATAAAGGTGATTACGTTAGTATATCACATTTAGTTAATGTATATATAGAGTTAGTACGTTAGTATATATACAGAGTTTAAAATATAACTCTCGGTTTTATGTGCATTGTTCATGAGAAAGTGTGGGTAATGTTAGAATAACAGAATGCAAGAGTGTTGTTCTAAGCCAGGTTATGGAAGAGGGTTAAAATTAGTGCCCAGGCTGGGTGTGGTGGCACGTGTCTGTAGTCTCAAGAGGCTGAGGCAAGAGAATTGCTTGAGCCCAGGAGTTCGAGTGTAGCCTGGGCAACATAGTGAGACCCAGCATCTAAAAAAAAACAAAAACAAAAACCTAGTGCCACTCCTCTATGGGTATAAGCCAAAGAAACAGGATATAGAAGGCTGTGTCTTGTAAGGCCACTCAGAGAGACCAGCACAGCAGGGAGGGGTGCCGAGAGGCAGAAGGACACACTCTCCGTGACACCTGGCTGAAGAAAGAGG